CAAGGCACCAAGAGATTTTGTATCCTCACATGGCTGAGACAGTAAGCTCTAGTCTCTCTCTTCTTGTAAAGATACTAATCCAACTGTGGTCTCCACCCTCAAGACTGTGTATAACTCTTTTTTTTTCACAAGCGCCCCCTTTTCTTATCCTCTCTTTTTGTGTTTTGGTTTTTTCTTATGAGTATTTTGGGGGGGCACACATGTGGTGTCCACACCTTTTGTGTTGTGTCTCTCTCTTTTTTCTCTGTGCATTCCCTCCTTTTTCTCTGAAAATGCCTTGGATCCTTGTAAATACACACTTGAAAGTACAAGTGATTTTTTTCACTTCACGAAAACTATCTCCTTTTGACCCCTATTATGAGTCAAAATAAGTCACAAAATAATGGCAGAAGGAAAAACATGTTAAAGAAATAGACTGGAAAGTGTTATTTAATTCAAAGAAAACAAAGTAAGTTGTATGAGCAATCAACACTGAAAGAATAGAATTTTGCTCCCCCTACTATACTGGTTGGCCTGTCATGAGTAAAACGTGAAATGCACTGTTTAGGACTGTAATTGACATATATGTGCAGCACATTTATATGTCTCAGTATTTCTAAAACGGCACCACCAAAAATCAGAGCTTTTTAGGGATAGCACTAAATGAATCAATCCCGAACTGTTGTGCATGTCACAGGGATTAGGATAAAGACTGAAGAGTGGACATTTTAAATGGCAGATATTGGCTCAGTAATTAGAAATAATGTTCTAAAAATTAGGGTGTCTGAAAATTGGAATGAGTTATTTTTCTAAACTTGTCAATTACAGTCATTGGAAGAATTAAAACATAGGTTGGATTCAGGGCTGTGTCAACCTATAAGATATTTTAGGTAAATTGGGAGAAAGGTACCGTATGTAGTGCATGACTTAATAAAATTTGCTCCCTCTGTATTGATGTATCCCCATGCCAGTTACATGACAGTGGACCATGGATTAGTTTCAGCTGCTACTTACCTACTCAGATGGGAACCTCTTGCAAGGTCCTCTTATTAGAAATGCTGTAGATCAACTTTCTAAAGTAGACTTGAATTTGGAGTTAATGCCCTCTGAGATTTATGAGTCTACATTTCTGAGTGTAACCTGAATATAAATCACTACTTTAGGTATCCTGCTCTCCACAAAGACCACATTCAAAGAAGCATAATGTTACAATCAAAAGTAATATGAGAAGAATTTCAGTTTAATAAGTGTCTCTCAAAAACTACGAAATACGATCCAGTTTATAGTGTACAATGTTTCTTGAAATGTTTTTCTTCAACATTTTTCTTCATTTGTACCTGGTTCAGTTCATAATTTTCATTATTTTATTTTATGTGTTTAAATTTTAATTAAAAAAATTTTTTTTATAATTACTCTGGAAAGATAGAATTTTCCTTATAATTGTGAAAGAATAGGGAAAATTTGAGCAAGTAAAGACAGAATCTCTCCTTGTTTTTCCCACTACTATCTCTGTCTTTCTGTCTCTACCTATTTTCTTGATTCTTTAACAGCACAACCTGGAAACTAGGTTGAGATAGAGTAAATGATTCTCTGGTAATTTCACGAGTAGGGATATGCATGTGTTAATAATTGCTGAGTGGATCCTATGTCTGCAGAACCTTCCATTAGATCTTGAGGAAAGAGGCAAAGCAAGTTATGTGAATAATATCTACACTCAAGTAACTTACAGTCTCATGAGCCAAACTGGATAAAACCACACACAGTAAATTTTAAGCAAGAAAGTCAATAGGCAGTGAAAATGACTACAGCTGTACACCTATGGATAACCCAAAGGTTACCTAGATATTTGGTGTATAGGAAGAACGGAACTGTAGGGAAGCCAGGGAAATTTTCACGAAAAAGTTACGTACGGAGCAAGTGTTCAGACAGGGAAACAACTAGGAACGTGGAACTAGGGAAATCTGTATAAAACCGGAGTCAGTGTGCAGCAGATGTTGAGTGTACGAATCTGCTAGAATACAGGCTGGATGGGAAATGCTTGTTCTCGGTGGGAATGCAACTCTCCATCCTGAACTCCCGTAACACTTACTGTCTGACTTGACTGTTAATTTGTTATATTCTGCCTTTTTTCTATAACCTCCACTAAGTAATCCTTAGAAAATAGACAATATCTTCCCCGCCCCCATCCTTCTATTGCATTTCACGTGATCTAGCAAAATGTGATTGATCAATAAATACTTGCTAATTTAAATAGAGTCGATAAGTAGCTAGTAGAGAAGGGGTGGAGAAGTGGAGAAAGGATCACATGTTTACACTAAAGAGTTTGAGTGTAATATGAGAAATCACTGGAAGTTCAAACATGTCAGAGACACGATTAAAATATTTTAGGAAGGAGAATTTCTTTTTTGTTTGTTTTATGTGGAGATAATAAGTTCATGTTTTTATTTGTATAGCTGTTGCCTGAACATTTGGGAAGAGATGTCTCATATAGATGACATGTAGCACTGAATTTTAAGCTAATTTTAGCCATTGAAATTTTTGAATAAATATGTTTAGCTTTGAATTTTACAGGCTAGGTAAAGTGCTCTGAGAGTCTCATGGGTGTGCATAAATTTCTTCATAAAAGTTTTTTTTGAGTTGCTGATTATAATCAATTCTACACTTGATAGCGTGCTTTAGAGTGAGATTTTGGCATGTTTTAAATAATGTCAAAGCACATGGAGTTGGAAGAAAACCTGAAATTTAAAAAATATTTTTAGGAAAGATTTACCCTAACTTTTAGGAGTTTTTTTTTTTTTTTTTATTTAGAGACTTCAGAACTATTTTATCAAACTAATTATTTTCGCCCCTGGTCTTGGAATGAAAGTGAAAGTGTTAGTCCTTCAGTCATGTCAGACTTTATGCAATCCCATGAACTGTCTCCTCTATCAGTGGAGTTCTTCAGGCAAGAATACAGGAGTGGTTGCCATTCCCTTCTCCAGGGATCTTCCCAACCTAGGGATCGAACCCAGATCTCCTGCGTTGCGGGCAGATTCTTGACGGAGTCACCATGGGAGGCTTCCTGGTCTTTGGATGTTTTAGAGCAATTGCTGGCACTACTGTGCTTAGATGTTTCTATATAGATTCATCTTCAATTCCAGAAATTCTGTTCATATGAATTCTTTGGTACTAGCATTTAACACAAAGATTTTTTTTAACAGATTGAAATTGCACAAATCATAGGTATTGAGTGATTATTTCAGTATTTAAGCTTTCAGTTACTTTTTTCATTTTCTTAACTTGGATTTGAATTTTCAACCTAAATATATTTTGAAAAAAGAATCATTAGTGTTAATTTTGATTTTAAAAGTAATAATACTCATTTTATACATAGCTTCTGAATTTCTTTGTTTATGTAATGGGTAAAGTATATAGAACAAAGTTAGATTGCTGTTTGTGAAGAAAAAGCAACATAACATCTCTATTAAAGGTGAATTTACTTATCTGATGAATCTACGTCTCACACTAAAAGGATAGGGTCAAAATATTATGAGTCTCTGGTGAGACTCTAAATCTCATGAAATGTTCATAAATGTAACATGTATAAACAACTGGAAAAATACAAAGTAAATTCTATTCTGCACATATGAATAAACTGTACATATATTGCTATATATTTAGGATTCATAGCATTTAAAAAGAAAAGTATTTTTGCACAGATAGAAAGCCAGCGATGTTATTTGTGGAAGACTGAGAGAGTAGTTCTTCACCTTAAGTTAAAAACAATGGGAAAAGTTACAGCCAGAGACACTGGAAGTAGCCGAGGTATCCAAGTAGCAATATTTTGTTATTTTAAAGACTTCCAGAAGACAGATCTCTACTCTGGAGTAATAGGCATTAAGAGGGCTGCAGCAAACTATGTACATGGCTATTCTTCTTGGCTTCACATTTTTTATTAATGTATTAGCTTTTTGGTTTAATTCAAATGGCACAGTCTCATAAATGCAGGCTGTTTCTTCTCGGGGCTGGGACTTCACTCTTATAATCTCGGTGTTTTTGAGCGTGTGTCTTTTCTTTTATAATGTGTCATCTTTTTTGTGATATAGAGCCCCCCCCCCCAAAAGTTTTATGAAAAGAGGGAAGAATCATAAAAAATGTTGGGAACTCTTCAAACAATATTATGAACCGTATGTTATTCCTTGGAAATTTAAGTTAGGATAGTGCTGAGTGTGAGAATTGTATGACTTGGAAAAATAGAAAAAACTGAGTAAACATTTCAGAGACAAGGAAGAAATGTTGCCACAAATAATTGTTCTTTGTAAGCTTATTTTCCTAGCCCATGAAATGAAATTTCTGTTTTATGAGAACTGGCTATTCTGTTGCCAGACTGGGCAGTGGCTGTCTGAATGTTTCTCGTGAATGAAAAGCTCGTCTCCCAGGGGGGAAAAAGATAAGAGCATTTAGCAAAGCCTCTTAGGTTTCTGAATATTTCAGAAATGGCAGTCATTTGATATACTGAAAATACCCACTTCCCAAAGTAAATCTAGATTCTCCGACTACATCTTGCATAACAAAACCTCTCTGGTTTTATGATTTTGCATGGTTTGTCGGGAGAATGCAGGGATAGCTGAATGCTTCCTGGTTTCTTTAGCATAACCCAGCCCACTTACAACACATGCCCAGAACTACCTCATTAGCCACTGGGATATAAGCCAAAACATCAGACTACAGTGAGTATAAGGGGAATTACTGGCAAGAGAGCTCTACATCAACTTAATACTGAATCCACTACTTTTCCAAGATCAGAAAATATTACACTAACAGGTACCATTTCTCCATCTCATTCAGATAGAAATTCATGGTTTTAATCTGCATCTTTTATCCAGAATAATTAGCCATACCATAATAAAACATGCAGCCTGGCTGCATATATATTTACATACATATATATATATATATATATATATATATATATGCTTTTGTTAATCTCTCTCTTTTATTATTTCCTGGGTAGCTTTGACAATTGTAAACCACAGACAATTTGGAGTCTGGCATTGAAGGGAGGTGACCTTCAACAATTTTTTATCTTGTATAAAGAAGTTTAATCTACAAGAGGTAATCTGAAAATGACAGGGGCAGAGAGGAAAAAGAAAAGCATACTCTGGAGTAAGATGCGTGTCCCCGATTGTGAAGACTTTAAACAGTGGTGTAGACGGCGGCTGCCTATTTTGGACTGGGCGACACATTACAGTCTGAAAGAAAACTTGCTTCCGGATACTGTTTCTGGGATAATGCTAGCCGTTCAACAGGTAGCACAAGGTAATGTACTGCATTTGATTTTCCTGTTTTATACAGAATAGATATCACTTTGCTTTCTTGGAAGAGTGTTGTGACCTAAAGTCTACTAACAAAATTTACTTTAATTAACTTTGGGAGGATAAACACATTGAATATCTGTATACAAAAGTTTTCCTACTTGTCTTTTTCTTTCTTTATGCTATTTTTGAGAGATAGTAAGCATCAAACCAATTTTTAATGGCATTATATATTTGTAATGTTAAAATTCATACTATATAAGTAAAAGATCAGTAATTGTGGGATCGTGAGTTTTTATTGTTTGACCTTACTAATACAGCTTTCTACTTAGTTTGACTCAAGCTATAAAATATCACCTGGCTTGAACATATCATTTGTAAACCTAATTAGCTGCATGCAATGACCTGTTGTAACCTTGAGGGTTGCTATAAGCAAGGAATAGAGCTATCTGTACATAAAGGAGGCTCTTGGCCAAGATCATTATTTGCTAAGAGAATCCTCTGTCCTTAGAGCTTACATTTTTTACTGTGCATGCCAATTTAATTCTGTATCACATTATGTACTATTTATTTCTCAATTATACATTTAAACTGATGATAAGTTTAACTTTCCCGAAGCTGTTTATAAATGATATTCTAGATTTGGATAGATGTTTCTCTGGGTAAAAACTATTAGGTAACTGGTGTGCATATGGTGTATGAGCATGTGTGGGTTGTGTGTGTGTGTGTGTGTTTTCCTTAAAGATATATTCACTGTATTTTTAAAAACTAATTCAGGTAATAACTTCCTACTTGTAGCAAGAAAAGAAACTGATTTTTCAGCCTTGAGAATTTGTAAAATGTTCCTTGGCACAGACTCTGTAGATTTATATTTTTTGCAATTTTACTACCTCCTGGCTTGAACTACTTTTCATACTGTTAAATTATATGCACTTTTCTAATTCTGTAGCTGGAACAAACTGGTTTGTGTGTTTGTGTTTTTAGTATGATTAGGAACATCTGCTCTGGTGGCCTTAAGATCTATAGTACTATCATACTTCCTGGGATTCCATTTCCCTGAATAGTCATATTTTTAATGACCATATTGCTAAAAATAAAATGTAGTAGTCTTTCATAAAAATACAAAGTAAATAACAGATTAGGCCATTTTTTAGGATTATTTTATTAGTTTTAAATTCAAAATGAGACACTACCATGGACTTTGAAACTAAGATGATGAATTTACAAAAGCTTTTTCCCAGATAGTTTTAGTATATTTTATTAATTTATTTTCTTTAATTTATTATAAAGTAAAAGAGTAATATATTTTAAAAAATATTTTGTTTTATCATCTTTCTGAAATATCAGGTTAATTAGAAAATTTGGGGATATGATAATGTTACCTGTGATGTACCATTAGTATGATCATTTGTGTGTCTTTGGCAGTTGATTGTGTGACTTTGCTTTGGGTATAGAAATTGATGTGTTTTGTTTGATGAGTCATACATTTTATTGGTTATGAAGAAATATGTTGGCCAGCCCCCAGTTGATGAGAAGCACAAAGCTTACTCAACTCTTGTGTCTTGGAAATTATGGATCTGGCTCTTGATTCTCCTAGAAGACTCCCAGTGATTGGGCAAGGAAGGCTGCACTGCTAGAAAGAACTTAAAGGTTTTTGTTGGTGTATGGAAAGACTAATTCTTGGTGATGGATAGGGAGGCCTGGCATCCTGCAGTCTGTGGGATCGCTAAGAGATGGACATGACTGAGTGACTGAACTGAACTGAACTGAACTGAATTCTTCCAAAAGTTCTTATTCTTTAAAAACAATTCTCAAACTTTCTCATGATTACTCATGATGGGTAAATATCATAAGCTACCTTTTGTTGTAAGGGGCCTTGTGCTGAATCCCTTATGTGCCATATCTTCCCCTGTCCCAACAAAATCCTACGGGACAGTGGTCCTCCATTTCCCGCTTGAGAAAGTGGAAGCTTAGACAAGTAAATAATTTTCTCTGGACCTCATACTTGATAAGTATGTGGTGTATATAAGTGGTATATGTAAGTGTGGTATATATAAGTGGTAGAGTCAGGACTTGATTCCAGTGGTAACACTCAACATTTTATGCTTTATACTCTACACTGCCAAAATAAGTAGACTTTTTCATAATACCAATCTTAGTAACAGAAGGCATTTCTTGGGAAAGGTGCAAATATCCTTCCCTGTAAATTACCTTTGTGTTTGGGCTTCCTAGGTGGCACTAGTGGTAAAGACCTAAGAGATGCAGTTTTGATCCCTGGGTTGGGAAGATCCCCTGGAGGAGGACTCAACAACCCATTCCATTGTTCTGGCCAAGAGAATCCCATGGATAGAGGAGTCTAGTTGTTTTTTAATTCTTTTAAATTTTTCTTTCTCAAGATATGCAATTAAAATTAAGGCTAATGGAAACTAAAACTTGAGTCTTTTCTATACGTCAGCTATCAAGGAGCAATTTTAAATTACTTTATTAAAGATTTCCCAATTGTTAAATACAGATGCTTGTCAGTCACCATAATTACTGATCCCAATGTAGTGTTTTCTGTGTTGACTATACTCTCTCTAAAATCATTTCTTCTCTTGCGCTTTAGACATCGCTTTTCTGTTTACCTTCTACTGCCTCTCTGGCCTTCTGTTATGCTTCTGCAAATTTTGCCTCCTCTCTTACTGTTCAGTCGCTCAGTCATGTCTGGCCCTTAGGAAGGCTTCCCTGTCCTTCACTGTCTCCCGGAGTTTGCTCATCATGTCACTGGCAGTGATGCCGTCCAACCAGCTCACCTGTCGCCGCGTCTCCTCTTGCCCTCAGTCTTTCCCAGCATGGCCCCTACTCTCCCTACCCATTAAACACTAGCGTCTGGGAGATTCAAACTCTGGGCCTTCGCTGAATATGCCTCAGGCTATGTCCTCAGTGTAAGAGGCTCTAGCCTTCATCACTGTACTTTCTTCTCAACCAGAGATCCATATATTCAACTAGACAAACCTAGAATTGCCCGAAAGCATTACAATGCAACACTAGTCTTCTGGAAGAAACAAGCTGAATGAAACCAGCATCCTAACCAGAATTATAATAATAAATAATAATAGCTAATTTTTAGACACAAAAGAACACTTGACATATATACAAAACTGAGGCTCAGAGAGGATAAATAACTCGATTAAAGTTACACAGTAAGTGAGTTGGAAGTGATAGGGTTTTAACCCAAGTAGTCTGGCTCCAGGGACTATGTGCTCCCCTTTATACCACACTTTGTGTCGTCTGCATAAGATCATTAATAATCTGGGCCCCTTAATACAAAGGTCTACTCAAACAGTTCTTTCCTCTGAGAATCCTGCCAATCTTCTGGAAGGATGTACCTCCTACTCCCTTTGTACTTTTTACACATCTCTATGATCGGCCTTGACCACCTGACCTGCCTCTTGAGAAACCTGTATGCAGGTCAGGAAGCAACAGTTAGAGCTGGACATGGAACAACAGACTGCTTCCAAATAGGAAAAGGAGTACGTCAAGGCTGTATATTGTCACCCTGCTTATTTAACTTATATGCAGAGTACATCATGGGAAATGCTGGGCTGAAGGGAGCACAAGCTGGAATCAAGATTGCCGGGAGAAATATCAATAACCTCAGATTTGCAGATGACACCACGCTTATGGCAGAAAGTGAAGAGGAACTAAAAAGCCTCTTGATGAAAGTGAAAGAGGAGAGTGAAAAAGTTGGCTTAAAGTTCAACATTCAGAAAACTAAGATCATGGCATCTGGTCCCATCACTTCATGGGAAATAGATGGGGAGACAGTGGAAACAGTGTCAGACTTTATTTTGGGGCGCTCCAAAATCACTGCAGATGGTGACAGCAGCCATGAAATTAAAAGATGCTTACTCCTTGGAAGGAAAGTTATGACCAACTTAGACAGCATATTAAAAAGCAGAGACATTACTTTGCCAACAAAGGTCCATCTAGTCAAGGCTATGGTTTTTCCAGTGGTCATGTATGGATGTGAGAGTTGGACTATAAAGAAAGCTGAGCTCTGAAGAATTGATGCTTTTGAACTGTGGTGTTGGAGAAGACTCTTGAGAGTCCCTTGGACTGCAAGGAGATCCAACCAGTCCATTCTAAAGGAGATCAGTCCTAGGTGTTCATTGGAAGGACTGATGCTGAAGCTGAAACTCCAATACTTTGGCCACCTGATGCAAAGAGCTGATTCATTTGAAAAGACCCTGATGCTGGGAGGGATTGGGGGCAGGAGGAGAAGGGGACAACAGAGGATGAGATGGCTGGATGGCATCACCGACTTGATGGACATGAATTTGAGTAAACTCCAGGAGTTGGTGATGGACAGGGAGGCCTGGCGTGCTGTGGTTCATGAGGTTGCAAAGAGTCGGACACAACTGAGTGACTGAACTGAACTGAACTGATGATCAGCCTTAACAGATTGTATTGTGTTCTTTTGGTACAATTCTTTATGCACTGGTGGGTAAGCTTTGGAAAGAATGTTTTAATCTTTATACTCTCACCGGTTTATATATTACCTGGCACATAGACACAGGTTTTCAGTAAATGTTTCTTGGAATCATTAAGCAATTTGCCTCCTAGAGACTTTTATTATTTTATGGTATCTTGCTGCCACTCTCGGGAGGGAAATTTAAATTTATTTTTATATTTTAAAAATAAATTTAATAAAGATACTGATAGTAAAAGATACACTAAAATATGAATAATTAATTTCTTCCAATTCTCCTTACTTACTGAATTTATAAACTTGTAGCCCTCCAGACAAATATGATAAAAGATTTGTCTGCATTCCCTTTGTCCCGGTGTTTAATTTTTTCTCAAGCCAACATTAACCCATCTGTATAGTTCATATGAAAATCTAGATGTCTGTCTTCTCTTGCAAAAGGGAAATAAATGGCCATAAGGGTCTTATGTTTCCATGTGGGGAAAATCTTTTGGCTCCCTCTGTAGACAGGGCAGGCATGTGCTTTATATTTTGCC